ATATTTAATTCTTTAACAAATATATTAAATTTTTAAAAAAAGATTCTTCAGCTAAAACAGTTTTAAGCTCAAAGGTATCAAATCTTTTTTGTTTTATATCTATTTCAAGGATTATGTATAACTAAGTTCTTTTAAAGTAGAAAACCCAGACCAAGGTTTTTTAAGTACAATATAACAATAACTATATACAAATTGCTATACATTGTTTTCACTAAGATGTTACATACTCAAAAGAAAATGAAGCTAACAATTTAACTATTTTTAGCATAATTCAAACCTTTTCTATACTCTACATTTCAATTTTTGGACTAAATTTTAAATTATTTAAAATTTTCATACTTTGTAATAGTTCATTACCAAAAAATAAGTATAGGTTTTCTACAATGCTTATGAGTCTATATATTAAATTACCAATAAAATCTGGAATAAATATTTTAATGAATTATTAGGCTATAAACTTTTAATTATGAATTATAATTGATGAGAAATTTTGCAAAGAAATAATAAAATTCTTGATTAAATTTCTAAACATTGAACTTTAATGTTTAGTTTAAATTATTTAGTCATTCTTAAAAGTTTTTACTTTTGAATATAGAACTTTATAAATTTTTTTATGATTTTAAGTTTTGAAAAAAACTATAAAATAAATTTAAAATAAATTTACTTCTTTAAGATATTATTTTACTATTATTAATTCATATTGCTATTATGATTATAAAGAATATTAATATTTAGTTAATATATAATTAAACTGTGCTTTATAAAAGCTTTGAATAGTTTCACTTCTTATATTTAGTGTAAATTTTTGTCATTTTGATTATATTTATTATGCAATATCTATATAAGATAAAGAAGATTAAATAGATGATGTGTTTTAAAAATCTAATATTTGCTAGAAGTTAACTAAAGACTGTCTCTTCAAAATTATTCAAAACTAAATATAATATATGTAAACTACAAGAAATTCAAACACAATTACTTTAAACTAATTGATTGAATTTTATTATAGCATCTTTAATATGACTGCTTATATAGTTAGTATTATTAAATAGAAAAATAAAACATAGCCTAGTATTAAGTTTATATTTTTATAAGATTCAAAATAGAGCTTGATTAACTTTATCAGAAATGTAGTGCTAAAGATTCTTTATTTTTAAAAGTACAACATTAATATAATTTTTTGAATTCTAAAACATAAAATACTCTATTAATATTTTTTTAGTATAACAAAACAATTAATTAGCTTGCTAAAATATATTTTTTATATGCTATTTTGATAGTATATATACAAAGCCAAAATTGTATATCATCTTCTGTTAAAAATTAAAAGTTTTTATATTTTCTGTCATAGTATTTAAGAATATTTAGCCAATTTGAGAAACTTGTACAGTAAGATTAATAAAATCTGTATTGTATTTCTTTTTATTTTGTTTTATTAAATTCTTAATTATAATTTTTAAATTATTTTCTTTTAATTCTGATAGACATTTGACTACTATATAAACTCAAGATAATATTGACAATATTTATACTTAAACTGCATGATAGAACCACTAAGTTGCCTAATTTTAAATTACACATCTTTAAATTGTTATAATTTTTTATTTTATTTTTTGTTTATTTTTATTATTTAATACTTCTAATAATTTTTTAAGTTTATAAAGAGAATTGGAAATATATTAAATTGCTTTGTTTATATATAGGATAATATAACTTAGTCTTTATTTTTCTATATAGATATTTTATTGTACAAAAAGATAAGATATTGATTTGAGATCTGTTTTAAACATGTTCTTAAGGGTATTAACTATTATATTATATATTTATAAGAATCAGAATTAATATTCAAATTATTAAATATAATATTATGGATTATTTTAAGTTTCATTTCAGACATGTTCTTAAGAGTATTAACTATTATATTATATACTTTAGAAAAATTAGGGTTAATATTCAAATCATTCAAAATTGTATCATGAATTATTTTAAGTTCTTGATCAGTAGTTTTTTTTTAAATGATCTGTTATTTCAACAATAGTTTCTTGATGCTGATTTAATTTACATTTTTTGTCAAGTGATTCACATGCATATTTAAGGTGAAGTTGATGTTTAGAAGGGTTAGGCATTGTGCAAAAAGGATTTGATATTAAAAGTTACAATTTACAAAACTTTTTTGAAATACGCTTAATGTATTTTTAAATTTTTATTTACAAAGGTCAATTAGTATTTTTTAATAACTTGACAATATTATAAACAATTACAAAAATCCAATTTGTAATGAATGCAATTATAAGGGTTGATTTATAACAAACGCAATTACAAAAAGCCAATTTATATAAATGCAATTACAAAAGTCAATTCGTAACAAACGCCTATTTTTTTTAGTTAAGTATACTGTTATATGTACTTACAATAAAAGCCGTATTTTAAAAAGGTTCAGTGCTAAAACTAGCCCGAATTTTTTGACAAAATTCGGTATATAATATGACAATAAGCCTTATTTTAAATCTATAGAGCCAGATTTTTAGTAACAAAGACCGAATCATCAACAAACTTAATATTTCTGGTTAGAAGCCAGTGAATAAGAACAGAAGACAAATTCCCGCTAATGTAATTCTTAAAAATGTCCAATTAACTAAAAATTTTAATCTATAGTTGTTTAAATCATGCTTTAAGAGTTGTCTGTTACGAAATTGCGGTAAAAAAATAAATTTTACATGATTTTTTGAATACTAATCTTTCGTTAATAAATTTTCGCGGTTTTGCCGATCAGTTTTTATGCATAAAAATCTAACTATAATGTCATTGTTAATGCACCTCATATGATTTTGATTAATTAGTATATCGGAAATCCCAACGATAGGTGCCAAAAATCAAAAAAATCAGAACCTGATATTTCTATGATATTTTTCTAATCTATTTTTTTTTCGATCTATGTTTGCCCACAAAAACAACTACCTAATAAATATACTATCGGTTGTCTCAAAACTAAATTCTATATATTAATTAACAAACTAAGATTATTATATTTATTTTATAATTCTTCTGTGTTGAGCCCGTTCAAATTGAGTTTAATATCAAGACTCATGTAAAATCAAAGCAAACGGAAAATTCTAGAAACGATATATCTATTTAGTCAGAAGAGAATTAAGTGCACTACTAATAATTTCTGAATAAAATTTTATTTTACACATTCTGGTTAGAGATGCGTTGCAAGTATGACTCATGAGAAATAACAGCACTAAAAGAGATAGGATGCAAAGTACGAAAGATGAAGACATTGATAAAAACAAAAACAGAAATAACGGAATTTCAAAAAAAAAAACGAAATACTTATCGTTATAATAAAATTCATAAAAAACCATTTATTTAGTTTTTTAAAATCCAAAAATAAGCAAAAAAGTCTAAATAATTAGTTTTTTTTATACAAAATTCCGATCGGCATTTTTTTTTCTCAAAACCAAATTAAAGGTTAAAATAATATTTCTAATGACAGCATTTTTTAACTCCTTTTCAATTTCAAAATTAAATTGATTAAAACCAAAATTTAAAAAGAGTAAAGAAGTATTTTTACAAAGAGCCTCTGATAATGCTTTTCCACCCTCCGAACCAATTTGATTACCATAAATAACCAAGGAAGTTAGAGTAGTATTTACACAAAGAGCTTCTCCTAATGCTTTTCCACCTTCAAAACCCAGATGATTATTACTAAGATTTAAAAAAGTTAAAGTAGTGTTTTTATGAAGAGCTTCAGCTATTACTCTTCCACCTTCAAAACCAAGTAAATTATCATAAAGATTCAAAGATGTTAAAGTAGTATTATTACAAAGAATCTTAGCCAAAGCTTTTCCACCTTCAAAACCAAGTTTATTATGTCGAATATCTAATAATATTAAAGTAGTATTTCCACAAAGGGCTTCAGCTAATGCTTTCGTTCCACCTAAACTAAGTTGATTATCATAAAGAACCAAAGAAGTAATTTTAGTACTTCGATAAAGAAATTTAGCGATCAATTTTGTTGTTTCATGATTAAATGCACCGTAAATTGCTAAATCCTTAAGTTTCTTATTTGTTCTTAAAAACATTGCAATTAAAGAAGATTTAACTTTCTGAACAGCGTTCGTATATTTTGCTTGACCTTCAGAATAAGTTAAATTATAAGTTCCATGACCTTCGTGGTTAAGCCAATTTATAATTCCACAACTCAAACTATCGTCAATTGAAGTAACATAAGTAGTATAATTAAATAATGGTTTTGAATCATTTGGAAATGTTATTTTAAGAGGAATTAATGATGCTTGTTCTTTGGTATTCAAGGTTAAAAGACATATCTTTATAAGTCTTCTGTCATTGAAACCGTTCGATGGTTTACTCCATAATATAGGTACAACATTTCTACACCATTGACGATTTACGAGAAGGCATGAAAATAAGGTTTTATGACATGATTGAAAATTTTTAAAAATTTCAATGAGACATTCATTTGGTAATGGTATCATTTCAAAAGAGTTTGAGTTTTAAACAAAGATTTTTTTTTGATCGTATCGGTATATACACTAACGCTAAGCAAGGAAATCACAGATCCATGTGTAACATACACCAAGGTCTGCTAAATATATAGACAATAGCATTCCCTGTGGCACAGAAAGGTGAGACTACATACCAATCAATGATTACTGTGCGAACTGTGCGCAGCACACAAAAAAAATTTTGCGCACATTTTTTTTTTAACATTTTTTTAAGAAACTTTTACTCGTGTTTTTTTTTTATTTGCGCACAAAAGAAGTTTCCAAATTGTGTGGTATTCGCACAAGTAAATTTTAGCCAAAATTAACACTGCATCTAATATATTTTTAATGTAAACTTTTATATAATTTTTTAACTTGGACTTTAGGCCAGAAAATACGATTAAATAATTACCATTGATATATACGTATGTATTCACTAATAAGTTCTTTGCTACTACAGTACTTTTATCCGATCTCTAAGTGTTTTCACAGTCATCCACAAGCACCTCCTTGATCAAGATTAACGTATTGTTGTTGCAAATGACTTCTAATGCATTCGCTAATGTTCAGATTTTTTTTCCAAACTATGACGTTACTTCGATAAAAATATTCGATCAATTTTTTTTTTTAAATCAAAAATTCTTAAATCTACATGATCTCATTGGTTAGTAAAAATATTTCTCGAAGAAAACCTTTTCCAAACCATTTTAAAAGAACTATATAGGTATTTCTATGCTGTTGATGGTATACTTACTGCAATTTCCATGTTTTGCCAAGCAATTAGTATAATGACGTAACGCACAATGATTTCCAAGCAATTAGCGTACTGTAACAATATGTATAATACTGTACACAGCACATCACTAGGTATACGTACTATACAAAACAAAGCATGTAATAAATGTTTAGTGAATTTCATTCATCGGAATAACACGAATAAAAATTGCTAGAAATACTTAATAATATTGTCCCTTATTTATTTAATCTAATTTGTATATTGCTAAATAACAATGAAATAAGAATAACCACGACATAAAAAGATATAATATGAAGATAAAACTAATCTTAATGGGTTAGACCCAGGGTTGGCCAATGGACCAAAAATGCGGCTTAGTAACTACCAATGGACAATATTCATTGACATTTTTTTTAGAACATATCATAGTCCATTGCAAACCCTGGTTAGATCCAAATTGCACAGCAAATCTTAATTTTTTTCGCATATAAAATAAAATTGATAAATTTATTTTCGATCAAACTCGTCCTGAGATCATAAAAAAAATATAGAATAAATATGATGATATGATGAATAAGTAATGAAAATCAATAATTTAATAATTTAATATTGAAAATACATACACAAACATTTTGACTCCGTTTGATCTCTTGCTAATAAACCTCTAATAGTAACACAAAAATCTTTGGCATAAAGTTCGTCTAATTCCAATTCTTTCAAAGATTTGTCAATAGCTCGAACAAGTAAATTGTTGACTTTCCCACTATCTTTCGTTTCATTCACTTTTTTTAAAAGATCAGAAACGATTTCTGATTGATTCTCCCAGTATCCAACAAGCTCTCCGATTGTTCCAATGATTGATTTAAGATCTTCCTCCATCCTATCGATGATGACTGTTAATTCATTCTTTTCTTCTTCCAATTTTACTTTGATGTCATTGCTTTTGGCCTGTCTAGTTGGTCGATTTATTCCTTCTTTTATGGCAACAGCTAATCAAATAAATAGGCATTTATAAACAAATTTAATGCATAATTTAGATAATTTAGATGTATAATTTGCATAAATGAATAGGTAATAATCAGTAGTAGTTCACTCACCAGTACCACCACCTATTGCAGCTGAACCTCCAATAATACCTAAAACAGCGGCTTCTATAGCAATACTAGCACCAGCAGTAAACGGAGCAAGAGCTACAGAAATCGCAGTTAACAAAACACCGATCCCTGCAGCGGCAGATCCAACGGCGAGAGTAGTTGATGAAGAATTTATTTCCTCATTAACTTTGTCCAATTCATCTTTTGTTTTCGATCTAATGTTGCTCACATCGTTCTGAACATCATTTTTATATTTGTTAAGGTTATTTCTGATTGTTACTAGTTCGTCTAAAACGTTCTTAGCTTGATTTCTCAACATTTCAGCAGATGTTAAATTACGTTTAGTATCATCTAATAAAGATTCCAAATTTTTATAATCATCGTCAGAGATAGTCTGGTCAGAGAAACTTTTGATTAATAACTGCAAGTTCGAAACATATTTGCGTATTTCGTGGCTTTGTTGAATAGAATTTTCAATAAATTTGAGAAATTCTTCACGTTGAATGTTAATTTTTTCAGTTTCTTCTTTAATCGTATAATCATTAGATTTAACTTTTATGCACTGCCAAAAGTTTTCAATACTAGTTTCAAGGTTATTTCTCATGTTTTGCATGTTAAAACCTGAATAAGTCACATCTTTAATCGTAGGATCATCTTCAGTTTCGTTGGTGTATATATAAACCATTTTACTAATATAGAAATATATATGTACTTTCGAAATTTGGTTGATTTGAAATTTTTTTTTTCAAGAAAATGGAAAATGGATGAAAGAAAACAAACCTTAATAACTCCGGTTCTATGTACTTATTCATGACTGAAACTTGTTTGTATAACGTCGAAATCGATTATTTCCAGATTAAGAAATCTAAAATAAAATACTTCCACGTAATGTGTTTACGTAATTGGGTTCTCGTGACTTTTCAAATTACTACGCATAATCGGAGAATCATACTTTGTTACATATGTCACACCTCTTTTATGCGGCGTAAATCTTTGAAATTCCTTGTAACAAAAATACCGGTTATGATATAAATAATAAAAAAAAACATTCTAAAATAGATTTCATTTCTTTTATTTGAATTTTAAGTGTTTCATGATCTTTAAAAATTTTAATTTCGGCCGAAAATTGATTTTAAAGAAGAAGCTTGAGATTTATTAACGTTGAGGTTATGTTTGTAGAGAAAAGTTTTGTACGTAAGTAATATTGTCTTCCTGACACTTTTTTATTAATAAACCATAATAACCATAATAGGTTTCAACCTTTATTTCTTGTATTATTCGCATTGTTTGCTTTTTTTGGACTGATCCGTGTAAACGAAAAATTTGTGATTCCATGATTTCTGTACAAAATTTGATTTGAATAAACCATGCTAATATTTTAATCTCATTACTGCATTAATTCGGATCTGCACTATGGGGAAGAGTAATAAAACGGCGGCGTTTAATAGGGCTGGAGCCTAATATATTAGGTTCTGAATTTAAAAAGAAACTATAAAGTTAGTGCTGCAATTTATATTATCTAAATAATTTTATATGATAAAATCCCATTAATATACTGATATATGGATAAGTACGTAGCTGCGAGACATTGTCGCGCTAAACCAGGAACGGGTGAATCTAAAGGATAAGGCTGATCTGATGCGAAATAATTATATTGATATATAATGATCGGATTCAGATCTATAATGATCGGATTCAGATCTTAAATGAATATCGGGTGCCACGTTTCCAGCGATGGCCATTGGATCCATTGCTTAAGTCATGTCTCGAGTCATGGCTCAAGCTGTTCTATGATTCAAGTTGGAGACATGGTTTTTTTAAGAACCAAGCCATACCGATACAAGCTGTTACCAGTTTTAATAAGTAAGTTCATCAATTGATAAATGATCGACATTATATTATTGAAAATGGGAGGCTTATCTAAATCTTTAGCCAATAATAAATAATCGTACAACTGTATAATACCAAATAAATGTAAATAAGGAGAAATATAGTGGCCGCAAAAAGGATCCGGAAAAATATTATTCTTCTGAATGGCTATAAATAACAGATTCATTTTAAGTTCAAATCGTCAAACATGGACCAGTCATACATGAAATATTATCATTACACGGTGGACGATCAATCACGATAGACTAATCCGTTTTGAACGAATATTAACGTTCTTAGCAATCATTTAAAATAAAAATTATTGAAAACGGATCAGCCGTTCATGACATTACTTTGACAAAACAATTACTTATTTCCACTGATTTCCAACTCTAATTCTAATATTTGGCATCGTTTATTGGCTATATTTCATGAACGACTAATCCGTTTTGTACCAACTTTATACCATCTTAAATTAAATCCTATAATTTGCAGCACTCGTTTAAGTACAGAATCATCGGAATCATCGAAATTGGTGTCAATTCTCGATTTATAAAATGCATGGTGTGAATAACCCATTGTAAGTGCTTTGTTGTTAATCATTATATTTGTCTACTAATCAACATTAACGAGAAAATAAGAAATGGCGAACTCATCCTTTTTTTCAATGTAATTATTCAAAAAAAACACACACTGTTAGTAATTCTGACTCACATCCATCTACGGTTTTTCGTAACGATGTTAAAATGTCATGCGATATTTTACATTTGTTTACATTTGTGATGAAGAGTCATGCGGACAGATTTTCAGTTCAAGGTGTTGCGTTTTCATAAAATGATAAATTCATATTAGGTTAGTGCAATTCCGAAGACAATAAAAAAAATTTATAAAATACTACATAAAATATAGTGTTATATGTGATGCAATACGTATCATTTAAATGCAGAATTTCACGCTTTATTGCATTTAATGCATTGTCTAATCGATTGAGATTTTGTTGGCGTAAATCACTAAAAATGGCATAAACCATATATATATTATATATCACTCCGTTCCTTGCTGGTATAATAGTGTTGATTTTAAGCATATATAACATTTACTCGTATGCAAAAAGACATAAGCTTCATTTGCATATTTAATAATTTATATAATTTATAAAGTCATAAAAACAGTAATCTCTGCCTTTAAGCTAATATAAGTATTACTGAAAGAAGATAACTTATGAATTGTAATTACCCAAAGATGAATCGTAATTATACAAGTAAGACACAAAGGAAATTGTATATAAATCCTTCCCAAGTATAATTGATCGAACCGATACCACTTGTGAACTATTGGCGTTGATATATTTTGCCACCATGCCGTTCATTGAATCTAATCTTTTTCCTCTAACATCATTTCCTACAAACTTTTGTTCAGATATATAAATTTCTTTTGCATTTTAGAAGACTTCGATACAATAATTTTACTTGTAGTTTTATGAGTTTTATTTATCGTTATATTTTTATCAAAGGATAGCGATAGACTGAAATCAAGATTTATTATCGTTTTTACAGGGGTGGGAGCCGGGAATTTAGAGAAACGTGAAAGATCTTCCGCTCTAGTCCAATAATTTTATAATTATTTACAATGAAATCTAATTTTTACAATAATAATAATAATAATTTGCAAGGCCAGAAGTGTTTTGACTTTTGCAAAAATTTATTGTTTATTTCCATTACCGTTGAAAAGGAACAATCATTTTTAATAAATTTTTTTAAAATTTTAGTATACTTAGTTTTAAGTAAATAATAAGATATTAATTAACTGCGATTCGTTATATGCAATTTGTCAACCCAATTCGTATAAAATTCGTAATATTATATGAAATTTCAATTTGATCAATCTTTAATATCTCATGATCTAATAATTGGAATTCGTCTATCCATATACCTACTCTACAGAAAGCACTTGCAAGAATACGGATTCCTGAAAAAGCTATAAACTTGTTGTCGTATCTGCTCCAAAATCGCACGAACAGAGTCATTACAAGTTTAGGCTTAATCACACCCTATACAGTAGAAGACGGGGTAGACCAGGGGGAAACAATTTCCCCTTTACTGTGGAAAATCTATTACGACCCACTAATAACCAGAATACACAAAGACATCAGGGATTCTATAATGAAATAGCATCCTCCTCACCAAAAAAAATCCACACATCAGTAATGGCATACATGGATGATTCCCTTTGGATTGCACCAAACAAAGAGTCACTCACTAAAATCCTTCACATGGC